GTCAAGTACGTTGTTTCTAACGTTGAGTTTTAATAATAAAAGTTATTAAATAACAAGTTATGCTGGTAGGATGCCATAGTGTTAGAGTTATAAATGTGGGCACCTAAGTTTAAGCTGCACTTGCATCAAATACTTGGCAAGTGTATTTATCTTGTTTGTTCTATTTTCTCTTATTTAAAATGGGCTGGTGTTTATGATTGCTAGGAAACTGAGCGTGGGAAAACATTTGATTGCCCCCCCCCGCTTTATGATTGCTAGGAAACTGAGCGTGGGAAAACATTTGATTGCCCCCCCCCCGCCATGCGCCCGCGTGTGTGTGTGTGTGTGTGTGTGTGTGTGTGTGTGTGTGTATCACATCTCCAAGTATATTTTGACTTGCTTCTTTGGAATAATCTTTTTTAAATTGCCATATTTTTGCATTACTGAATATGTTCTAAAATACCAGATAGTTCGTAAGTTGCTTGCTGCTTTAGAAAAAGTTCTTCAGAAACATGAAAAGAATCATCAAAATTTAGGTGGTCACACCTTTAATCCCAGTGCTTGGGAGACAGAGGTAGGCAGATCTCTTATGAGATCAAGGCCACCCTGGTTTACGTAGTGAGTTCCAGGCCAGCTGAAGTTACCGGGAAACCCTGTTTCACAAAACAAAACAAAAAATTCGTGCCTTGAAAATCTATAGAGATTAAACAATATTTTTTTAGTGTTGAAGATTGGTATTATCAAGGGAAATATGGTTTAAAGGGGGAGCAATGATTATGTTTTCTCTTTATCCAGGTACAAGTTAATCATTGAGTGTCCCCTGTCCCTCTGACTTAGAATGCTTTCCTCTTGCTAATTGTCTCCCAGATTAATTTTAGCACTTCTCTTTTGCTGACCCACCTCCCACCCCATACCAAGACATCTCTAGTTAGGAATCTGCCACTGCATAGCTGGGATACTTCAGCTGGGAGAGATACTTTGTGAACCTGCAGCTGAAGTATTGGCCATAAATTACCAGCAACTGTTGAAAAGTGCTAGGAGTTTTAATTTCTAAAATCTCTAGATGTTTTTACGTTGTCAATTAAGAGATCAGTAGGTATCTTACTTAGTCCTTAAGTACATATTTAGTCATGGTCATGTGGCCAACATTATTTTAGCAGGTTTTCCCCCCTTTTTTAGAACACAGAGTTTTGAAACTTCCATAGGAAACCTTAGGGTTTTCATGTCTGACATGACTACATCTCTAAGAACACACTACCGTACTGAATTTCCACAAATTATCCAGGTTTCATTTATAACATTGTAGGGATAGTTTAGGTTTTACTATAATAAACCTTCTAATGCTTGAAGCAAAAACACTGATTTGGAAATAGAAGCTCTTTCATTGCAATAAGCACATTTTGATCTACAAAATACTCTGGAACAAGGAACTCTTGAAGTACTATTTAATACTTGGAATCAGAGCATTTGCTCTGAATTTTCTGTTATAGTATTCATTATTTCTTAACTTCATATTTGGTAGGAAAGTTAAAATATTAGATAATTAGTGAAGCCTATTTTTTTCATTTGAGAAAATTTTCCTTCTGTGGACTGGTGATTCCCTGGGAGAATTGGGCTCTGAGAATAAGAATTCCGGCATCCTTCTTTATCAGGTGTTGGAAAATGGAGAGCGTAGGCAAACCTGACTGTTAGTATTACCACACTCTACTATCCCACAAATAATATTTTTGATGTACATAAATTTCTTGGCTTTGGTACCTTTAAAATAAATTTTCATCATTAGAAAAAATGGGCTTGTTGGTTGAAGATACAAGCAAATTCTCTATTCAAAATTTATAGTTTCACATGAAAATGTACTTTGGTTCTTTCCTGTTTTTAGGCTAATGTAAAAGATTTTTATATACTCGAGGCGGTTGGTGTTGCCTTTGCTTTTAAGGTTAACATAGGGCATGGTGGCAGCTGCCTGGTGACTGCTGTGCTTTCCTTTGATTCTAGTGGCTGGGTGGTGCTGAAGCCTTTGCATGTTCTTGTTTCTCATGGGGTTCTCTTCTTTTGCTCCGTTTCCAATTGTATTTTCTTCTTAACTCTTGAGTCTTGAGAGTTCCTTGTGTGTTCTAGATTCAAGTTCTAGCCAGATAAGGAGGTTTGCAGGCAGTTTTTGTTTTTGTTTTTGTTTTTCCAGTTTGCAATATTGTATTCTCCACAGGGTCTTTCATAGAGCAAAAGATTTTATTGAGTACTTTCCCATTATGGATAATGTTTTTGGTGGTGTGTCTAAAAAATTTTCCCCGTGCCTTTGGCACCTTTTTTTTCCTCTCTCTAAAAATGTTTTACATTAAAGTCTATGATCAATTTTTTTTAATTTTCTTTTTCTTTTCTCTTTTATGTGTACTGCCTGCATGTGTGTAAGTGCTCCCATGTTGTACAATGCCCACAGAGGTCAGAAGAGGCCTTTAGGTCCCCTGGAACAGGAGTTAGAGATGGTTATTAGCCACCATGTAGGTGCTGGCAATCCAACCTGGCTCCTCTGCAAGACCAGTCAGTGGTCTTAATCACTGAGCCATCTCCCCAGCCCCCACCCCCACCCCTTTTTTTGAGACAGGGTCTCCCTGTACCACAGCTGGCCTGGAACTCACTTTGTAGATGAGGCAGCCTTGATCTCACCAGAGATCTACCTGCCTCTGCCTCCCAAGTACTTGGATTAACCACCATACCTAGCTAATTTTTTGAATTATTTTATGCAGCTTTTGGGGTTCAGGTTGAGTTTTGTTTTGGTCTATGCATCCAATATGTTACAGAATTTGTTTTTGACTTGCTTCTGCATTTTTGTGAAAAATCCGTTGGAGTTAGATATATGGTCTGTTTGGGAGTTCTCTGTTCTGTAAAACAGATCTATGTACCCTTCTGCCAGTGCCACAGTGTTGAGTTACATGTATATGAGTTAAAAGCTGAATGGATTTATTGCTATTTCATTCTTCACCTTTAAAATAGTTTTAGCTTTCTAGTTCTTTGCTGCTCCCTATAAACTTTAGAATCTTGTCTGCGATTGTAAAAACAAATCATACTTTTTATAGTTATATTAGCATTTCCTTAAAATTAAATATATACGTACCATTTTGCCTAGCAATTAACTAGAATGTTTGTTGTAGAGAAAACTTGGATTCACAGTAAGTGTACACCCAGTATTAACAGCAGCTTTATTAGTAGTAGCCCAAAACTTGATAGCCATTGTCCTTCAGTAGATGAGTGGCTGAGTAAATTGTAGTTTAGTATTCATCTCACAGAATGCTACTCAACAAATGGCAACAAGTTGAATGGATCTCAGTAACATGCTAAGGTAAAAAATCACATTCTGTATGACTTACATCATTTATATAAAGATGACAAAATTAGAAATGTAGAAGAATGTTGGTTGCCAAGGTTTAGGAGTGGTGTAGAGGGAGGAACGGGTGTGGAGGTTTGGTGGTAGAGTAGTTGTATGTCTTATTTATAGTGCTGAGTACCCATCTACATATGTGACATAATGGCACAGAGTTATACATAAACCAGTGTCAGTGACTTGGTTTTGAAGCCGTATTATAATTACGTAAGATATTCCTACTCAGACAGCTGTGAGTCCATAGTTAGCTAAAAATTTGAATGTTACAATTTTTACATACATTTATTACAGGTATGCCTAGTGTTTTATTTCTGAAAAAGCAAGTTCTAATTATGAAGGTGTGGGTAGGTGGGTTGGTTGATTGGTTGTTGGTTTTGAGACATGGTATTCCTGTACCCCCAGCTTGTCTGGCTCTTTGTAGACCACACTGGCCTTGATCTCACAGAGATCTGCCTGCCTCTGCCTCCCAGTATTGAGATTAAAGGTGGATGCTACCATACCTGGCTAATTAAGGCATTTTAGTAAAAGACAGGATTAATTTGGGGGGGACAGTTTTTTAATCTGTAAAAGGGGGAAATGAAATGAGAGTTTGCAGAGATTAAAGTTTTCAGATTGGGCTTGGTGGTGCGTGCCTATAATCCCAGCACTCGGGAGGCAGAGGCAGGTGGAGCTCTGAGTTCAAGGCCAGCCTGGTCTACAAAGTGAGTTCCAAGCCAGCTGGGACTACAGGGAAAGGGAAACC